GACAAGTTAGGGATATATATAAGCATCTCCAAGAATGCACTTTAGTAATGATTCCAGCATCAACTTAGGAACTATCTCAGTGGAATATACAGCTGTGAATATATATCTCAACAGAGAGGCATTAACCCAAGCATGAAAAAACAATTCTTGAGGAAATAAAACACAGGTTCGATAACTAAACATTGCGTAGGTGAAAAGAGAAGCATCAATTAGTTAAAAAGGCGAAAAAAAGAAGCTGTATTCTGTAACACAACATCCCAACAAAAGCAATTAAGACCAAAAAGGTAAGCTTTCACATCATTTACCTGGCTTAAAGAAAATAGAGAGTCCAAAATCAATGGCCTTGAGAGAGAAATCATCATCCTTATTAACCAACAAGAAATTCTCAGGTTTGAGATCTCTATGCATAACACCAAGAGAATGACACGCCTCCACAACCCCAACAATAATTTTAGTCAATTCAGCTGCCTTTCTCTCACTGTAATGTCCTCGTTGTATGATCCGATCAAACAACTCACCCCCACTACATATCTCCATAACAATATGAACATATAAAGGATCCTCATAAGCCCCTTTAATCGTAACAATATTCCTATGACCTGCCAAATGATGCATTATCTGAATTTCCCTTCTAACATCGTCAATATCCTCCTTCGAAATCAACTTCCTTTTCGAGATTGATTTACAGGCATACTCAGCACCGGTAGAAATTTCTGTACATAAATAAGTAGTCCCGAACTGCCCTTGTCCTAACTTCCTTCCCAAAGTATAAAGATCGCGAATATTCTGGGTCTTATGACCCATTACGTAATAAGCCTGATTACTCCCTGAACGATTCATGCTAGCTTTTCTGGGACTAACAAGAGACAAAGAATGCTCCTTCTTGTGATTACTATTCTGTTGAGCGTTGCTAGTGGGAGAAAAATTGTCAGAAGAAGAATAAGAATTGCCGGAAGAAGGGTTATGATTGGTGGAGCAGGAACTATCTTCAGGCTGATTGTAGCCCTGAAAAGTTTTGCCTCCAATAGATCCACGGCATGTATTGCCCATCAAACAAACACAAAAAATCACAATAACCCCTCAGCTCGGCAATGTCAGAATCAATAACACCTTCGTCATTCACAATTTTTTTTCTTCAACAAACTGACGAAAAACAACAAAAAAATTACTGGGTAATTCACAGAATTTGTAAAGAAGCTGAAATGAAGAAGATAGAACGTATTGCAAAACAGATCAATATAGAACTTTGTATGACGAATATTGGATCAAATACATGAAAATAAAAACAAAAACTTACAGAGAAGAGAGATGAAATGGAGATTAAGCGAAGAAGAAGGATAGATCTGAATGAAAAAAAAGGAGGAAGAGAGCAATTTTTCCTCTAAATGAGAAGAAGGAAGAAGAAAGGAAAGAGGAGAAAGAGAATAAATGGAGGTTCAACTCCAACAATGGTCAGCTTCAATTAAAAGGTTGTAATAATATATACTACTATTGACTTACTAATTTAATCTCAATCTCGTATTAGTTCGTCATCTTACTAAAAATATTTACCGATCTTGTTTACTTACTAAATTAACGTAATATTAAGTTATTAATTTTTAGAAAAAATGCACAAATATCCGCTCAATCTATATTCGAAATCTTAGAGCACTTATACTATATTAAGATACTATTACTCATAAACTTATTTTATAAGTAATTTTTCCTCTAAAATTTCGAATATAGATTGAAAGAGCACCGAACATTATTCCATTTATTTTAATTAGAAGTAAAACACATATTATTTTTTTGTCATTTACTAAAAATATATATCTAAAACTACATGTTTAGATAATATTAGTAATTAAAAAATTCTCATTTTATCCTTGTAATAATACTCTTTAAAGCTTAAATAAACTTGGAATTTCTAAAAAAAAAAAATCGAGAGTTAATTAATTATGTTTTACTTTCTCGTATTATTATTATTTATTATTAATTGACTTGTCATATTTATTAATAAAATATTTATTGATTTACGTCTTTCATTATGCTATTTTTAGTATATTTTGTGTCTTTAATTACTTGTTCATTTTTTTTAATTGTTTTTAACTACTTATTCGTTCTGCCAAATCAAGAAAGAACAATTTTTTTTACTTATTATACCTTCAATTAATTATTTTGAAAAAGGTAAGATTTCTGGAGAACGTATTTACTGTTAAGGATAAAACGTGTAAAAAAATATTATATTTTCTTGATATGTCAAAAGTTATAATTAAAAATGTAATACATTTTCTAAATAAATGACAAGTAAAATTAAAGAGAATGAGTATTTATTTTAACGATATCTATTCATATGTGAACATATTTTTCATAAATTATTTTGATGTCTATCAATATGGATCAAGGATAAATTAATAAAATTAATTATTTTATTTATAATTTCTTAAATATCATGTAAACTAAAACACGAAGGAAATAGCAAAGAAAGTGCGAAGAAGTCTCATGTTAAGTTCGGGCTCAAGTCGAAAAAAATTTATATTACGAAAAAGATGAAGCACTACTCATCACTTCAACATAATCTTTATTATAAATGAACATATTTTCTCTCCAATGTGATTTTTCTTTTTATATAAAACAATACTTTTATATTTATACCATATTTTATCAAGCTTTTAAAAAAAAAAAATAGTGAATAATAATTTATATGTAGCTTATTAATTTAAAAGATATTTTTATCAATGTAGAACCAAGAAAAAAAAAGTTCTTGGTCAAACTTTTGAAAAGTATTTTTTTTGGAGGAAATTACATGTTCCAACTTTTGCTGTTCTGCAAAAAGTATAGATTTTTAAAGAACAAAATTTGATAAAATTCTCAACTTTCTAAAAAAATTTTAAAAAAATTATTAATCAAACAAACTATTGGCACTAACATTAGAAGAAAAAAAATACATTTTTATGTTTATAACATCAAATTACTAAATATAATACATAAAATCAAAGGGAGGGAACATACACACATGCTATGAATATTTGATTTAATTTAAAATAGCACTCTAGTATGTTAAAACAATGCCTCGAAATATCGTAAATCCACGTGTCTTCAGTAGATACGTGTATTTTTTACGTGGCACGTCTTTTAAAAAATAATAATATTTTATCAGAATTATTTATATTAATTAAAATGTATAGTTGTAATCTTGAAAATTATTTGAGATAGAAGAATTTAATTTTTTGAAGATAAAACATATTAAAATATTAAGTGACAAAATAAAAGTAAATACCTATTACTAAATATTGCACAAGAAAAATGATTAAAAAGAATATATATTTCAAAATTTTAAGTAGTTCAAATATGACATTTCTCCATTTCAAAATAAATATCATCTTAATAAAAAATAAATTTATTACAAAATTAATCAATATAATATGGTGATTTATTAAACTCTTCCTATATTTTTTTTAAAGAAAATTATTAGTAGAGTCGAAGGAACATATTGTTTTTTTGTCTGAATTTCTAAAATAACACTTTGAATATATTTTGTTTAATTAAATACCACTTATTTTAGAAAGAAAAGAAGAAGTAATTCTGAAATCAAAACAGCAAGAATCTCATTTAATGATTCTTCTTTTTTCATCTTATTTAATTTTCATGAACAGAATTATTTAATTATCTATTATGGATAAAGGTAACAAATATTTAATTGTTACTCCCTCCGTTTCTTTTTATATGTTATTATACTTACATTAAGAAATGATATTCTTGTTTAATGTTTTCTTAAGTTAATTTTATAATTAATGATGAATATACTATCAAAATTAATTAATAGGAAAAATATGATAACTTATGCATAAATTTTATAAAATAACAAGTATTGTGATTTAGCTATTTATAAAAAGTGATAGACATGTAAAATGAGACAAAATGGGGTGTAAAATTACTTAAAATAGACACAAATTTATCCAAACATATATAGCATCAACAAGAACCCCACTTATGAATTTGGATATTCATTGGATATTGCACTATATAAAGACAACTTTAATGGATGTAACCATTCACTAAACAAGATTTAACCTAAAAAGTGAGATATTGGTAGGCTCTACTTCCTCTAAGCTAATCATGACATAACCTTCACAATATATGTTTGTTGTATTACTTTCAAATATATATATAGTAATTCACATGTTATATATGATTTAGTATGTTGTAAATATTATTATCGTGATATCCATAATTTTCTGTTATAATTTATATTGTCTAAGGTTTAAAATTGTTTCTTATAACACTCTTTTTTGACGTAATCTCATAAATAAAGATTCGGATAATTATGTTGTACATAGAAGATTTGAACATATTTTGAAAGAATAAAAAAGGTTCTCTTCTTTATTATTATTTTTTATATCTATATTTTCTGTTTGCTTTAATTTTACAACACGTTATTAACATGAGATGACCAGTTAAGTGACATTGCTAAAATTAGTTTAACATATAAATGTGCATCCAAACATGAAAAGGTGAGATACGATTGCATTATTTATTTATTTTTATTTTTTTACGTCATGTCTAATGTTTGAATTGGAGCTGATTACTCCAATCGGGAGAAAGCACTTCCGACTAAAATTTATATTCAAGACTTCTGATTAAGAAAAAAAGAATCAACGTTATCTACTACACCACATTCTTTGGTGGCGACTAAAGGCCCTAATTATTCTTAAAGTTCCACATGAATGAGTTATTCAATATATTTTCGAAAGATCAATTAGGTGAGATATGAACACCTAGAGTATATTTTGTGTTAGTAATGTGATTCTGTCATGTTTTTATATTCAAAAAATAATAATCCAAAAATTACTAAAGAATAAGGTTGTGGACCTGTGATTGACCACCGGGGAGAAAGCTGTAAGATCTGTGGGGCCCGGCGGGGTTGGTGGATTTTCAAATATAAGAAAATTGGATCGAGCCATCGATGTGGATAAAATAATTGAATCACACAAATTAATTGGTCAATGGAACAAAGAATGGCAATCAATATACGATTATTTTATTCCGCATTTAGTTATGAGTATAAGTTAAATCCAAAAAACAATATTGTACATAAAAGGTGGTATAATACACCTCCCAAGTCATTAGATATCATTGTCTATCCCATCTAGGTACCCAAAACAAATTCCTCAAGGTACAAGACAATACAATAAGAAATGCATCCCGCCAAATTACTTTTATAAATAGTATTTCTAAAATGGGTATTTTTTTTTCTGGTAATATTTTTGAGCCTCGTGGGCAAACAGTAAATGACTAAATTCTCCCAAAATTTATACTCACCCTGACTAGTCTACAGTGACGAAATACAAGACATTTAATTAAGCCATGCATTCAAGTACAGCTTAGTGAAATTATCAAAAGAATTGCTTCCTGAAAGGAAGGAGAAATTTGAATGAATAATCATACAAATTAGAAAGAACGTAACGAATGCTGATAGAAGGTTTAAGTACCATTTGGTTCACGATAATATCATGAGGTCTCCTCCACTCGACTTCGTTTTGCAGAAATTGTAGCACTATCCTTATCCTTCATTTTGAAAGTCCAACCTATAAAATCAGACTCCGGAAACAACATAGTTGGAGTTGCTGTGTAGAACGCAAGAGGGACCTGTTTAACTCGCCTCCTAATCTGCAACGAGGTATTGTAGTTAGAATGCAATTACATGGAACACTATCGGATATAGTAAATGAGGCAGATGGCCAGCATACGATAAAGGAGGATCTAAAATGCTTAAATCAGCAAAAGAAATGCCAAAAACCTGACGAGATTTAATCTACTATGACAACCCCTAAAGATGAATGAAAAACAAACTCAGGCCATTTAACTAAATGAAACAATTCATCGGTTACAGAAGCATACATATTAATGAACAAAGTATGTAAGCCAATTGGAGCAAACTTCTCTAAGAAAAAGTATTGTCAACCAAGAAGTGAATGATTATATAACCAAAACAAATATAGTTGTGTAGTGAACATTTACCTCATCACCAAAAATTGTTGCATATGAACCAGAACTGAAATCCTTGACTGATACTTCAGTAGTTTTAGCTCTGACTGTCAAATCGTTCTCAAGGGACAAAACAAATCTAACACGCAAAGAAAAAAGTAAAGAGACTTAAATCAAACGTTCAATTAAAATAACCGTTAATGCACGTTGACACAGGAAAAGCTATAATCATATGATACACTTACCTTGAAACAGGCGGGCAGTAGTGATGGCGGAGTGTGTCAACTTCCCACAGAGAGCTCCCTGTAGAATGGTAGAAATTTAACACATCATTAAGTCGAGAATAGTGTTACAAACAAATAAAAGGAAAAATTTACATTGAGGAATGTGATCACTTCTATACCTTACAAATACCTCCAACACCCAAACATTTCTAATGACTAAAGCAAAAACACAGAGAATGTTGGTCCAGAAAACTTAACATCCACTTAAAAGATACACTTAATCAAGTTACGTTAACAAAACAAAAGGTGAAATGCCAAATTAGAAATTATGCTTGTTCTCAACACCAATGCAAAGATCCTTTAGCAAAGAAAGGTCATGTAATTCCTTGGCCATCCCTTTCCACCAAAAGAAGAAAGAAAAGTTTTCTCCACAAAAAAAAAAAGTAATAATACTAATAACCAAAAAACAAAGACAAGTACCAAATCAAGTTGATTGGGGACTTTAAAAAGCCTTTTAATTGATTAGAAAGTAAAAAGAGGAGATGGCAAAATGCTTGACACTAAATTGGTTAAACAACTGAAGCTTAGAGTAATAAGGTCATGGGAATGCCTTTTCGACTCAATTTAAAAAAAAAAAACAAGAAATGGTATAGGAGATTGTGGTAGCTGAACAATTAACTTTATTAAATAAATTGTATTTTTTGTGAAATTGTTGAATGATCGAAATTTAAATTATGACAAAATGAAACAAGAAAATTACTCATTGCGTTAGCCTTCAAAGGATCAGTCTGCTTGTCATCAAAAGGATCAATACTAGGCTTGACGCTTGACATTTCTCTGCTGGGACTGGAGGCTTCAGTGCTATCATCAGCAGCACCATTCTCTGCTCCTATCATGTCTTTAGTAGTCTCATTACCATCCTCCTACAAAAAGTTTTCATCTCACATATGAGTTTTACAACTGTCACAGTGATGAGACAGCAGGCAAAAAACTTTACTATTGACATTTTCCGAGCAGAAACATTTTGCACTTGTGTGTATCCATTCATTAAAAAATAATAACTATTCCCCAATCCCAAACTAGTTGGGGTCAACTATATGAGCGTTGTACATCCACTCTAGTCAACAAATTTATCTTCTACATAAACTAGGAGTTCTCTAAGTCTCACTTTATCCCTTCACTGTCCCACATAAGATACGACATCTCAAACAATGACAAGCAGAAAAGTAGGGCAAGACTCCATAGTCTTACCTGGTGCACCAAGCAATTTATTGAAGGATGTCTCCGTAAGAGATTATGAATTAGAGCAATAATGACTAATGCTCCTGAAGGAGGGACAGCGAGCGATAACCGACTGAGTTTTTTACAAAATGCAGCCGCCAAATATGCAGGAAGAAGTGGTGATTTCAGGCACGAATCAAGAAGCTGCAAGTGACATTCTGTAGTTAGTGTCCATAAAATAATAACTAGATCTGACATATTGCGACATACTGAAAAAGGTATTTCCATCAAAGACAATAAAACAAATTAATTGACAAGTAAACCATGCTGTACTGGCATCTTCTTTTATTGCGCTCAGAAATCAACTGATTTTTCAATGAAGCGATACACAAAATATCACATAATTCGGATATCCCCTTTTCTGTTTTATCAGATCATTTCTGAATGCTCTCCAGAAAATCAATGATGGAACTACGATGAACTTTATGAACCTAAAATCCACTTCCTAAACTACAGATATGACAGTAATCTTAAAACCATATACAGAAAATGTAGCATATGCAGAACATTTTCAAGTGTACAGTAATTTATACTTTCCTTTGAAGCATGCAAAAAAGATGCACATATTTTCGGCCAAAGTACTTGCCCTCAGGTGGAAATCTATGTTACATATGGGATTTGGTATAGCAGCTTAAGTCAAGAACTCCAAACCAAAACCTTTTAAGCACAAACTACAATCTCTCAAAACAGAACAGATAGTCCACATAGCAAACCAATACAAAGAGGGGAACATAAAAAATTTTGCTATTACCTGGAAGAACTTTGCCCTATGTTTTGCCATAAAAATAGAAGGTTCTAATAGAGCATAGAGCTTTTCATAGAAGTTGGGGTACTCAAGACTATGTTGTGTCATGAGAACAAACAAGCTGCTAAGAGCCATCACACTGACCACCCCACCAATATCATATGACCGAGTTAAGAAATCACTACATATATAAAAGTACTGCAGTTAGTCAACAAAACTTATGAAGTATGAAAGAAAAGACTCAATGAGACAAACAAGAAGAAAGTACAATGTGTTACCACAACATAAGAGGATTAGACAGATAGGGAATAACAACTTGATGAAGGTTAACCAGAACCTGAGATCAGAAAGCAAAAGAGAAAATGTTTAAAATCATCAGAATAATCATGTTTCAGGAGTAAGAAAGCAGAACAGAATCACAAACAAAGCTGGCTGTGAAATAATACCACTTCAACCAAATTGTTAAGAGTGTAAAACAACAATAAGAACATACCCAGTGTAGTCCTACACAATGAGGTCTAGGGAGGGTAGTCTATACGCAAACCTTACCTCTGCCTCGAAGGTGATGTAGAGGTTGTTTCCAATAGACCCCCGGCTCAAGACGAAGACAAACTTAGAAAAGATATAATAGAAGTACAATAGACTATATCTTAACAAAAACAACAGACAGTAACATACCAGTACTATTACAATGTAATACTACAAACAAACTATATGAAATAATAGATAATTCACAAATATCAAGGAACAAGAAACTACAAGAGTAATCATACGACCACTAGTAAGGACACAAGACAAAACATTCCCACCAACTAGTAGGGACGCACTCCTACACATTAACCTTCTCCGCTAATTCGCATCCTCCACACCTTCCTATGTAAGGTCATGTCCACGGTAAGCTGCAATTTGTGTCATGTTCTGTCTAATCACTTCTCACTAATATTACTTTGGTCTACCTCTGCCTCTCATGAATCCATCCACAACCAATCACTCACACCTCAGCATTGGGGCGTCCGTGCATCTCCTCCTCATCACATAGCCAACCATCTCAACCTCGCTTCTCGCATCTTGTCCTCCACCGAAGTCACCCCCACCTAGTCTCAAATATCCTCATTTTTAATTCTCTTCTGATATACCAACAAATCCATCATAATATCCTCATCTCACCACTTTCATCTTGTGAATGTGAGTTTTTGACTGGTCAACACTCCGCGCCATATAACATAGTTTGTCTAACTACCGCCCCGTAGAACTTGCCTTTATTCTAGGTGGCACCTCTTATCACACAAGACTCTGAAACCAGCCTTCATTTCATCCACACACTGTACAAATACGATGAGTGACATCCTCGCCAATCTCTCCATTTCCTTGGATAATCCACCGAAGATACTTGAAGCTACCTCTCTTCTGGATGATCTGTCATTAGAAAAATTAATGTGACACAGATTTTACTTTTCCACCCCAGAATTACTCCGCATCGGCTTTCAAAGTCTAGTTGAGGTTGGTCAAAGCTATAGTAAGGATAAAATTTCACAATTTCATGATAAAGATAAATTCATGAAAATGCTAAATCATATATAAAGGGACAATTAACAATAGGACGCATTTCTATTTCTTCACATAAACGTGCTATGCACTACAAAAATTTAAAGGTCAAATAAGAATCAAGGTGTAATTTTACAGCATCACTTATATAACTTGGATCAAGAGATACTGGATAAGAAAAGAGGAGAGGAGCAGAGATCATGTAAGTACAAATGTTCCCGGAAAATGGAAATAAAAAGATAATAAAAGTACCAAAACCCTGTTCCAATGCATAAAATAGATAACCAGACTCAATGGAACTGTTATTCACCTCTTTGTAAACATCAACAGGAAGTGTTAGTCTAAGGAATGATATCCAGGCTTTTGTAAATTTCAGTTTCATCTTTTTTGCAATGTTGGCTGGAGATAAAGCCTGAAGATCACAAAGCATTTAAGATATTAGCTTGCATGAAAATCCAAAGAGAATCAATAGATGTCCATAAAGGAACAGTCCAACAATGTGAGGTACACAGAGGAAAAGGTCCTTCTTTATTCTTAATTTCTTTTCTTTTTAAATCACAAGTTCTTTTCACTAAATACCTTGATATTAGTTGATTCACCCTTGCACTGCTTTCCAGTGTGTCCTTTGTCATTTTCTTTTTCAGTAAATATACCTAAATCCACATAAATAGATCAAATCACTAGGAAATAAGACAAAAAGATAAGGTAGAATATGTCATATTTCAAGCATTGGCAAGAAGAATGATATGGGCAGCTTGCTTAGGCCTAAAATAGTAAACTAAAAACTAGAAACTGCTAAAACTTGAATTGTACAATTCTGCCAAATGAATGTTTCAAAAATCAAAACCAAATAGAGTGATATATGCATCGTATACACGTTGCACCTGTGTGATTGGTGTTTTACTTCCCTTGCTTTGCAAGTATCTAGTTACCACTCTCAGGGAACGCAACAAACAAGAAAGTAGAGTCAAATCCAATTCATTGTCGCCCCTAGTTAAAAAAAGAAAATCCAATCCACTGTAGCTTGATACATGGCCATCAACTAGATGCACAGTTTGGAACTCAACTACTAATGAACCTACCCTACCTTTCTCAATCAAATTGCAGGCTCTTGGAGTGTTTGAATCTGCAACTAGAGGTATTTGAGGTGACAAAAGTTTTAGTAGAGGTATTTGAGGTGACAAAAGTTTTACTAGAGGTAGCAACTAGGCAACCTGGTATTCGTTGGGACTTTTAGAGAAGCCAAATGCAAGTGAATTCGATAAAAAGTGGGAATGATGTTATTTTAAGAAATTATAATGTTTTTAAAGCGATCATGTTCTTTTTTCTTTTAAATGTTATTTAAAGAGCTCTCACCATCATTCTAATTACGGAACAATCTGAAGCAAAATGTTGGCCTCCTCCATGGGTAAGCCAAGTTATGGACAGAGGGGTCAAAGAAGTACACACATCAAACAGATAGCAGCAATCCCAGCGAAAAACAATTGCTTCAATTCTAAATTTATGAAATGAAGAAAAGAGAGAGAGGAGGGGGGGGGGGGGGTCATGTACAAATTCTGTCTTCTTATTCTCAGGTTTTTAATGACTTTTGAGCTTCATTTGATATGCTACTTAGTCCTTTTAATTATTCATGATGACATTTCCGTTTGTATAGGGTGTCTTTGTTATGCCAAGTGCAAGATCCTTTTACTACATCTATATACTATCTGGTCAGATATATACAGATGTGTGCTTTACATGCTACATGTCATATAAAAATCAATTGTGCACTAGTCTCCTCCACGAAAGGTATCAACAAATGGCTTAGTTGAGAGTTCCTTCAAAAAGCATTTGGATGTTACAGAAGAACAAATTATTGGGGCTTGATTCTAGAATTTAAAGTTCTAATGTTCCGTGATTTTTGTTTTTGCACTTTGTACTTTCAAAGTATTGGGCACTTTTATCTTGACCATGGACAAACCCTCAAATCTTAATAGCTTTCATATTTTGAAGTTAATATTTAGATGCCTTGTCATTGGGTACTTGAGATTTGTCGTTCCATGTAGAGCTGAGCTACTTCATGTTTTGTGTTTTCGAATCTTAGCGCGTCCAACTCAAGACATGACATAATTGGTCAACTCTAAAAAAAAAATTAACATCAGGGCAATTGTGTAGGTCCTTTTACTTTTTGAATACATCTTGTACATGTGTTTTGAACCATCATGAATAAATTTAGATACCTTATCCCAAAGAAACAATGTAGGGTATTTATAATCTAAAAAGATCAAATCACTCATCAAACTATGAGCATTGCATTTCAGTAGCTACACTAGAATGCAATCATACAAAGATGCCTCCATCATCAATCCAAAAATTAGTTGGCGGCTAAAATGCATGTACTCAAAATGCAATCATAATTAGACTGTTTCTACCCTGATCATCAACCCATCGCAATCCTTCCTCCTTTATATGATTCTTCAAACCGACTTACTTTTCAACTTTACAAAAGGCATAAAAATTGCAAATACCCAAAATATAAGGCCATGAAGTGTAATCTTTATATCAGGACCATAAAATGTGATCATTTCAATTGCAATACATCATTAAAAACTTAAAAAGCTATTTGTTCATAAGAAGAGATTACACAAAATAGCAAAATTAAATACTACTCCCTATGTCCTATTTTATGTGGCACCTTTTCCTTTTTAGTCCATCATCATCCCAAAAAGAATGTCACTTTACTACAATTAGAAACAATTTATAACTTTAAAATTCTTTTTTTTACCCTTAATGAAATGATTTACAACCACACAAATATCTAAGGATTGTTTTAGACCACAAGATCCAAAACTCCCTTTTTTTTTCACTAAACCCCTTGTCAAGTCAAACGGTGTCACATAAAATGGGACGGAAGGCATATGATGGATCGTGAAATCCGTTAGGAAAAACATTCTTTCACATCTTAAGAGAAGAAGATGTCATATATAGGTAAGTGGAATAACATGGGCAGTGAAGTTCTTATAACCAACCCCAACTTGCTTGGAACTTAGGCTTATCTATTATAATACTTGTTTTAGATGTCAAACAGAAATGAAGCACTATGTTAGGATTCAACAATTGGTCAAGTGAAATTACCTGCAGCATTCCACATATCATATTCTGCCTTGTCATCTGAACCTTCCAGGGGAGGGATACGAGATAGTAGATGAGATAACTTGTGAACTGATAGGTCCAAGCTTTAAACCATGAAAAACAAAGTCACAAAAGGAAAATCTTGAGCGCAATGTTTTGACATTAATAAACTAAAACCTCTGGGTAATCACTAGAGGTGAGAACTGCTTCTATGAGTTGAAAATAAACGTGGCACGCAGAACCAAAACAAAAAACTGTCATTTGTCAAATTGGATATCAAAGTATTTCATATACAGTAGAAACGTTTTATGAGGAAGATAAAAAGACAAGATATCTAATGCATATAAATACTTAGATAACTATCATGGATCCAAAAAGGTATAAAGTTTGGTATACGAATGGCATGCCGGAACTAATCAAGAGTATATTTACAGGATTACTTTGAGCCAATCCCCAAATATAAGGGATCATTTTTATCAGCAATTTCAGCTTTACCTTTTGTATCATCATTAAAAAAATTATAATATTATTATTATCTCTAAGAAAGTATATTGGATCAGAATACAAGTTTTTACTCGGACTGCAAGATTCTTTAAGACCAAGTTGCTTCCAAGTTGAAATTTTGTATTGTCCATCAAGTAATTTCTCACTGAAGGAAATAAGCATAAGTCAGATATTTAAGCCAACCTTGATTGTGGCTGATTCACACCGGTGGTGTCTAGTCGCTCCCTTATATCGTCTGATTGTAGAAACAGCAAAAAATGGATGAATACAGGCACAAGATAAATAAAGAGGCAAAGCCAGGATATCAATATATAGCAAATAAGTTCGTGATACCTGAGATATCATTGGCTCCTATGTTTCGGGAAAGCTTTTCAAGGCTGATATAAGTAAAGTATCTGATGAAAGAAACCAACTGATCAGAAAAACATGTAAAAATGTATATGTGCTAACCCTGATGTAACCTAATTAAACATGAATGCAACCAATATGATTAACGGAACAAACAGACAGGTCTGTATCAAGTTTAATGAAATGTCTCCTACTTTGACTCTACCCGTACCCCCAACCTCATACAAGAAAACACAATCATTTGAGAACATAGTCTCCATACCTGATATCAATGTACTTAAAATACTTTGATGCGAGCAACTCCAGCAAAATATCATCAACTTCAAGGGAGGAATGAACCTAAAACATAGAAAGTATACTCGAATCAAATTCCTTGCGTAAACTACAAAAGCAATAAATAAAAGAGGTGACTTACAATGTTATGGAGAAGCCTGTAGTAAATAGCAGAGTGAAACTTCCCACCGTTTCCAACTTTCACAAACTCCATCAACGTATCCAACACAACTTCCTAATCATCCAAAACCGAAATCAACACACAGCACATCCTTAAATGTGAACAAAAAAATATAAAAACTGGCACTCACTCTAAGTGCTTCATCGGATTGCGAACAGATAACAATATCCAGAAGTGATTGAACGAAGTCGTCAAACTTGGAACGAACCCATGTTCGATAGATAAACTCAGGATCAGCTTGAGAGTCAGAAGTGAAGGAAGAGGATACGGTAGAAGAAGGGAGTTGAGGAAGTAAAGGAATGAAGAAGGATTGAAGAGAAAGGAGAGATTCAAGTGCATATTTAGGACGAGTAGAAGGGGTGATGAATGAGAGGAGAAGAGGAAGGTTATTGACATGAGCTCTTGAAGAAAGAAGCTGGTGACCTAGGGTTTTGAGGTCCGATAATGAGTATTTGTCATTCTTGTTCTTCTTCTGCTTCTTTAATGGCATTGATGAAGCCATTGTTAACTTCTTCTGCTGCTGCTTTGAATTGTGGGAGAAAACAGAAGAGAAAAAGAAAAGAGCAGAAGAAACGTTTAATATTTAGGGTTTAAGAACATTTTTAAATTACAATTATAGCCTTTCTCTAATTTTAATATTAAAATCAAAGTGAGGGTAGTTTTGTCTTTTGGTATCGATTATTCATTCCAATTTGGGTAAAACTTACCCCACATAGTGTTACACCAATCAAATACATCATGTGTTTAAACTTAAACGAAAATTGTATATAATGGTAAATTAATAAATTAAATTAATTGCTATAACCATCCTTTGATTTAATTGTGTCACATAGCAAATTGTTTGTCAGTTACCTCTCTCTCCCTCAAACTCTCGCTCGCCACTCTCCTCTCTTGCTCCATATCTCACTTGCTTCTCTCACTTTTATATAAACACAAATATATAAAATATGTTTCTATTTGTATAAAGCGAGAGAAAATTGTATAAATACGTATGTTTTTGTTCCCCTCTCCCAGATCTCGCTCGCCACTCTTCTTAATCTCACTTGCCACTCTCAGCTTTCTCGCTTATACAAATAGATACATTTCGTTTATTTTTGTATAAGCAAGAGAAAATCATATATACACATGCAAATACATATATTTTCGTCATATACACTTATAATTATACAATAAAAATACTCTGCTGCCCAGTTTCTTTTGCGGAAAAATTACATGAATTAATACATTTTTTAAAATAATTACTTATTTTAGCGATACTTTTTGTTTATTATCATTTATATCAATATTGTGATAAATCTGTAATATGTATTAAAAGTGAATTAATTATGCAATATATTTGAACTATAATTGTTTTTGAAATATATTATGTTTATTTGGTAAAAAATTGTCACATTGTATTATAAATATATTAAAATGTGTGATCAATGTATTATCTATCATTAAAACTTGTATTATATTTGAATAATAAATTTATCTTTGTAATATGTATTAAACTTGTATTATAAATGAATTAAAAGTGGTCAAGTGAAAAAAAAATATTATTGCTATAAATGGTAAACATTTTTTTATTTTAGTATATTTATGTAAGTTCTTCTTCTTTTACATTTCTCTCTTTCTCGTTTTATACAAATTCAAATTGTATATTATTTATCTCTTTCTCGTTTTATTCAGTTCGATTCAATTGTATATTCCCTATCCAAGTCTCTTTTGTCTTTCTTTTTTTCTCATTTTATACAAATTCAAATGGTATATAATTGTTCTATATACTTATAATTATACAATTCATTTTATACCCTTCGTTTTAGACAATTTTCTACTCAAATCTCTCTCTGTTTCTCGTTTTATACACTTATAATCTTAATTAATCGTTTACTTGATAGAGTTATGTTTTTTGAGTAGCTTTCTATCTCTTAATCTGTACGAGGGCTTCAGCGAAGGAGACGTTTTTAAGGCGGAACTTGGAGCTCTTCACCGACACAATGGTGGTCTTTTTATTTTTTTTGGCAATTAACTATTTTCTTGTCGCCAAAATAACGAATATTTGCTCTGTTCCACAAAGCGACAACCAAGATGCTTAACCGCATACAAATTTTGTGTTTATTTTTCTATTGTTGATAATTTTATTTTCGTTGTTTATGATTTTTTTTGTTGATGGATCATTGTCTTCAACCTGAGTGATAAAAATTGATTTTATCTTCCACTTAACTTGACTTGCAGGGACGAATTACGGGAAGCTCAATTTTTCAAGGATACAAATGCTCATCTTCAATTTTGGGCAAGGTAATATTTTGCGATTCTTCTTATTCTCGTAGGTTTTCGGATATAGTTCATATTTACCGTTTAGCTTCTCTCGCGCTTTTACTCTTACTACAAATACCAATGTATATTTCAAAATATATTCTTGAGTAAATTTTTCCATTGTACAACATGATACTCTCAATTACATGATTATATCATGATAATTTTACTCACAGTTCTATATAGTAGAATGTAGGATTAATATAGACAGTGGTTGTTAATTCTCAAAAAAGAGATATGTGATTGCACATGTAAAGCAAGGATATTGGCTCCCTCTTCCTCTTCATTAGGCAGTTTGAGTGCCCTTTATATCATATTTTCAAGTAAAATTAGAATGATTTAGGTTGAAGAGAATCTTCTTTGCATCTAATTGTTAGTGGTATTTAAGAAATTACAATTTCAGATGTTTTCTTTATGTATGTCGTTATTCCACTTCAAAGTAACTAATAAGTCATGGGCATGGTGACTATCCAAAATTAAAATTTTTTATTTGTTGATTGCCACTCGAACATTTGTATTTTCTTTGTTAGTCCCAAACTGCTCTCATAAACATGGTTTAGTCTATGGATAACAAGCAGGACATAGATGTATATGAATTCAGTTGATCAAGATTATGAGTCTACTCAAACGATAAGCTTGAAAGCAAGAAGGAAGTAATTAATTTGACACTTGCAAGTTAAATGCAGCCCATGCTGCCAGATATTAAAAATTAGATCAACGACTTCTTTTTAGATTCTGAGATGAGTATTTAGAAAAACAATGAAGTTGTTGTTCTACCAATTTTAATATGCTTCCAAGTGTGTGCATTCTTAGTGTTCAATTTCCTCGACTTTTGTTCATCTTTGTTCTTTGGCTTTCGTCATTGTTGTCATTTAGCTTCTTCGGTTTATAGGATCTCATAGATAATCGTTTTAGGCTTTTGATCGGTATTGCTGCACCATTTCTATGCTTGGTTTCAAGTATATATTGCGCTTTCAGTTATTAATCTCCCAATAAATTAAAATGTAAAATTTATGTGTTCCATTCTCTTGGATATATATAAAAAAGAAAAAAAAAGAGAGCATCCAAAGTCATAAAGTTAGGCTCATGCTCCGCACGGGCTGTCTTTGTCTAGTTCAACTATAAAGATGGGAAGAATCCTCAAAAATTACGTGAACTTGCTCAACTTCAGATTTAAATCGATTCTGTAGAATCTAGATTATCGATAAATAAGATATAAAAATTAACTTTTACATATAATTTATATATTATCACAAAAAAAAGATCAGATCAGATCATGTAATTCTTTTTTGTTAGTGAAAGATTTAGTGATCATTTATTACTTGCTTTTGGTTTGTTTTTTTTTTAAAAAAAAACTTAAAGAAACTATTTTCTTATACCCAAAAACTGAACAACATATTAATTTTTCATGGTTAAAAAAACACTATAGGTAATTTCTTTTTAAAGGTTAGTGGTAGAGTTAACAAATATTTGTGCGGATATTTATTGTCGAGGTTAGTATTCGTCTATCGATTGGCACTATTACTTAAATCAATTATCAACAAAATGGGGATTCAATAAGTTTAGTAATTTGATTTCATTTACATGAGTATTATCTAACATTTATCTTCTATTTTATATTTTAAAAAATGTCTTCACCTTTTTTGAGTTATATTTCTTTTTGTGTTAGTTATGTTGAATATGGATTTTATCAACATGGTGTTAGAACTATACCAACATATCCATATTATGTGATTTTCAATGTTTGCCTCCTTGCTATGTTGATGTATTAGATTTTCAGAGTGAAATGTTGTCTTCGAATGATAGATAATAAACGTAGTGGCAGAAATGTCCTAGTATTAGGCTTAAATGTAAGGTTACATGTGTTTGTATTCCATTCTCTTTGATTTTTGTCACCTAAACACTATTTAAAGCATTAAAACTATGAGTACTAAATAAACCCATCTAGTATAATGGAGAGGATGTGGAAAATTTTTAATTAATTTTTGACGAAAAAAATTAAACAATTGACTGTTGTCATGATAGTATCATCTACTTACAAATTACAACAAATACATTATCAGATGGTTAACCTATTCCAGTTTAATAATTGTCAATTATATATGTTGTATAATTAAGTAGCCCTAAAAAGTAAACATATTTTTCATTAAAAAAAAACTTTTAAATCTTGTCTATAATAAACAAGTATTATTCTAAACGAAATCGATTAATTTCTAATTATCCGGAAACACATAATAACATATTATTTCGAAATCAACTAATTTTCAAGTATTAAATTATTTGAAAAATAATAATAATAAACAATGTTTTCGTATAAGGATTTGAACTAGTTTTTTTCTTTCTCCAAATTAAATAGAAACAAAATTCATGTGAAAAAAATATTAGAATGATGATCAAATAACAAACAAACTTGATTATCTCAAATATTAACAACAGAAGGTACGTGAATTTTACGAAACATTATTGTTATGATGATGATAGTTCTAAAAGAAAAATATCTCTTTTAATTTTATATAGTAGTATCATAATTATGGATAATCAATCAATTTCAAAAGTTAAATTCGTAACTGATGGAACTTCCAAACTTGTGTATGGTATGTTTCCTTGTTATTCATAGATCAATATTTTAATTATCTTCTTTTTATATAAAAGAATATTTGAACAAAAAAATGTGGTAAAATATTTTACCAGAAATTGGGGATAAAATACACTTAAATTAAGCTCTTTAGGGATCCTTTTTGTGTCGTGGAATCACCACATGTTTAGCTATGAGTTCTCATGAAAACAAACTTATAAATTTTAATATGATTTTCAATATATTATCTAACATTTATATTCTATGTTATATTAAAAAACATCTTCATCTTTTGAGTTATATTTCTTTTTGTGTTAGTTATGTTGAATATCGATTTTATCAACATGGTGTTAGAACTATACCAACATATCCGTGTGATTTTTAATATTTGTTTACTTGTTATGTTGGCGTATTATATTTTTAGAGTGAAATGTCGTCTACAAATAATAGATAATAATATGTTAGTGACAGAAATGTCCTAGTATTAGGGTTAAGGTAAGTTACATGTGTTTGTATTCAATGCTCTTTGATTTTTGTCACCGAAAGACTATTTAAAGCATTAAAACAATGAGTACTAAATAAACCCATCTAGTATAATAAAGAGGATGTGGAAAATGTTTTAAAAAACAATTATGTCTTTAATCATACTAATATATGTATTAAAACTTATTGCAATATGTATATTATGGTATAAGTACATATTAGTAGCGTAGTCAGAAATTTTACGAAGAATATCCATAAATTATACACAAAAATATTTTTTTTTTGGTTGAATGAGTGCACCAGAAATTTTAAAAATTAAACTACGTAAGATACAAGAATTTTTTTGAAAAGAAATATGTAATATACATGAAAATTTTGAAGAAAAAAAAAAGGAAAAGATGAAAGGCGCCCTAAAAATTTTAAAAATTTAACTACATAATATACATGAAATTTTTGGGGAAAAAATACATAATATACATGAAAAATTTGAAAAAAAATTGAACTAGAAATTTTAAAAATCGGAAAAGGGCCTAAAATACCCTATTGAAAATGGTACAAAATTACCCTTCATCCACCTATTAGCTTCAAAATGTCATTTTCATCCACCTTTGGGTTCAAAATTAAAATTAAACTCCTTAAATATTTTTAAAAATACTCGACGTTCAACTATTGGTTATAATTTAATTTATTAATATATTTTATAAACCAACTCACTACCCATTCATTACTAACTAAATCTCATCCAATTAATAATACAATTATAATATCAAAATCGTAATAAAACACTACTAAAACACGATGAAATTATAGATTCCTGAAAATGAATTTCAAAATTATTCAAGTCCGAATCGAAGTCCCAACTAAATTTATTTTGAGCTTCTTATTTAGGAGGATACTTTCAATAAGATTCTCTTTCAAGATTGAATTAGAAATTTATGATTAAAGAGTAAAAAATAATATATCCTGAATTAATTCATGCACTTTTTTTAAATATAATTTTATAAATATTTATGATTTATTTTAAAACCTTTAATATATTATTTTGAATAAAAGGTACCTATGAAGTAACATCACATAATTGAGACGTAAAAATAATTAAGATGAACATAGTCAGACTTTTAAGTTTATCGGTAATTTTTATTTAAACACTTGAATGTATGATAATTTACTTCTATAGATATTTTCGCCTCAAATTTTTAAAAACACTCAATTGACAGTAGCTTTTCTGTTGTTGCATTAATAATGTGACAGGCTTATTAATTTAGAGGGGTTTAATTAGTAACGGTAGGTAATGGATTGATTTATAAATTATACTAATAAGTTAAATTATAACAAGTAGTTGAGCGCCACGTATTTAAAAAAATATTTAAATAGTTTAAATATAAAACCGTTAAATAAGTGGTCAATTTTGAAGCAAAAGGTGGATGACAAGGGTATTTGGACCCAATAGGTGGGTGAGGAGGGTATTTTGGAGCCAATAGATGGATGGAGGGTAATTTTATACCATTTCCAATACTTTTAGAGTATTTTAGGCTCTTTTCCGTTTAAAAATTAAACAATGTAATATACAAGAATTATTTTTTGAAAAAAATATGTTAATAAATTTAAAATTTTTGAAAAAAGAGGAAAAAGATGAAAGGTGCCCTATAAATTTTAAAAATTTAACTACGTAATATACATGAAAGTTTTTGAAAAGAAACGCAATATACATGAAAAATTTTGAAAAAAAAAAGAGGCTTAAAAGTTGTTATTAGTGAGATTTGAACTCACAGACTTATAAAAGTTTGTCTCTTTGAAGACACCTTAAACCATTAGGCTACAACACATTGTTATGTTAAGGATATCCAAAATACATTATTTAATCATTTTATATAAAATTTTACTTGTATATACGATATAATTTCTCGACACCCTAACACTATGTTTGGATTATTGTTATCCATTGTGTTGTATTGTATCGTTACTATACCTACAGTGTTTATTTTGATTGTTACTTAAAATGTATTGTATTGTAATGTATTGTTAATTTCGTTGTTACATAACAATGAAAACCCCTATTTTAAGAAACAATCAATTTGGTGTGTCCCACTGTTACTTAATTTCTTTTTCCAATTATATATTTACATAACATTTCAAAATATTATTTTATCGTTTATCTTAATTATTTAAATCTAGTCAAACCTCATACCTTAGAATAATTAAGAATATTTTAGTAAATTTATAAATTACAATACAATATGATACGATCAAATCAAACAATTAAAATGTTATTAAACAATAACAAACAATACAGTCGAGCCAAACATTGTATCTACTGTACAATAGAGTACAATACAATACAATACATTATGAAATAATGGGTAACCTAACAATGATACAAACAAAGTGTAAAAGGTATGTAGCTACGCGTCTGGTACATATCTCAGTATACAATAGAGTATATAAATAATATAAATATCAATTATCATAAATTGAAAAAAAATATATTACTCTCTCCCTTTCACAAAGAATGACCTAGTTTGACTTGGCACAGAGTTTAAGAGTATAAAGAAAATTTTTGAATCTTGTGGTCCTAAATTAAAGTTAGGTCAAGTTTACAAAATTACCTTTGATCTTGTGGTCTTAAAATGACACATGGAAAGCTGAAATTAAAATGTTTCCAAAAAGAGAAAGAGGTCTTTTTTAAAAACAAACTAAAAAGGAAAGGAGTCATTCTTTTTTAAACAGAGGGAGTACTTACTAGATACACTAGTAAATAGTACCCCTTTATTTTAAAAAGTA